GTCAAAGAGAGGTCGATCGGGGAGAAAAGGGTATGGGCTTCTAGAAGATTCAGAAATGAAAAACGGACAGAGATGGGAACTTTGATGGGGAGAGACTGGTAAGTGATGTCGAAGAGTGGAGACTCTGAATGAGCATGGAACATGCCGCTGCGGTCGGTACCTGGACACCAGCAGCAGCGGTAGCGCCATCGCGGTGCAAGCCATCAATGTTAGTGTATAGAAGGGAGCTATACATCATTGTAGTGCGGGTAGTGAAGGAAGTGGGAGGAAGCGGATTCGTTGCCATTGTCGGGGACTAGAAGCAGGCGAGGCGGGCAAGAGCTAACACAACGCAAAATGGGTGCGTTGTGGGAAGCCGGATTGGACTTGGGACCGACTGGTGCGCACAGATCGGTGGCTCGTGGGTCAAGTCCAGGTTGATTTCGGATTTTTGGGTAAACCTGAACCTGACCCTGTTTATAAACGGGTAGGAAAATGAAACCCGAACCCAACCCCCTGTCAGGCAAATGGGTTGACCCGAATCCAGAATTTTCAATATTGGGTCCGGATCGGTTTTCATGTCGGGTCAATATTTGACACCCCTAATTTAGTTAATAGTCAATCTATACACAAAACAATTTTATTTAATACATATCTAATATATGAACTAAAATGACATACATATGATTCTTAAATGCCTATTCTGACTCGCTGCTCTTCTACGGTACATAGATCATTTTGTCACATTTTCAATTTAGAGCCTAAAACATAAACATTTGATAATGGGTTGAGTTCATACAACAAAACTTAGTGGCTAATTATAATTTTATAATATACCAATTTCAAAAATATAAATAAAACAAAAATTATGTGAGTAATTATAAGTGATCATTACATATTTTATCTATACAGAATTTACACATATAACATTCAGGTGAAGCATATACAACATCATGGTGTAAAAGATAACATATTTTGATTTATTTATCATATTAGATCTTTTAACATAAACATGTCTCAGTAGCATCTTCTAAATTGTACATTTGTACCATTAAGGTACTTTCTTTTCCATTTCTATGTTTTTCTATTTTTTTTTTTAATTTTTAGTGCACGGTTAAATTGCATCACCAACCAGTGTCATAAGGTGGTTAATTCCTTTATTTAACATGCATATACATTTCCTCTCATTATATTCCTTTCATTATCTTGTCTTATATTTATATTTAAATTTGGAGATGAGTGGTTTTCAATAATATTTTTTTCACATTTAATGTTTAATACAATATGAGAGTAATTATGCAAATGAAAGAAAGAGGTCTTTTGATTATTTCTTTGATGTAAATTAGTATTATGAACTCTGTCAAATATACAAATGAAAGGTCATATCAGTTAATGATAGAAAGAACTATAATAGCTATAAGATAGAAATGTAATCACCCACATTGACTTTAAAGATTTTAGCTTTGCGTTGTTAATCCTTAAGCTATGTCTTCCCTAACTGGGTGCCTATAATAATACATTTTTATTTAAATCACAAATTTATCTTCTTCATCGAATTACAATTATCTCATTATGATTAAATCATTATCCTCTTATTCTTATTCAAATTGCTAAGTTTTAATCTTAGTATTTCTAAGTAATTTCACAATATAAAGTCAATTTGAATTCTAGAATTTATTATCATAAATTTATTTATAAAATTTCAACTTCAAATGTATACCTCAAAATTCCTGTATGTTCTTCCTTAGTTCAAAACAAATAACATTTCCTCTTATTTCCCTCCTCTCATGCCTTCCTAAATTCTGGCACAATTTCATGGGAAATAATTGCTAATGTTAATTAATTATGAAATAATAAAAATTCTCAATTGATTTCATATTTAAAGAAAAGAAAAAATGAATATATTTCCAATACCTTACTTAAATACTTTGGTTGAAATTGACGTTTAATTTTGTTACCTAAATCTTGTTTGGCTTGATCTCATGCAATACTCTTCCCGATTTCCTCACTCCAAACTCCTAACAAAATTCCTTTAACATTTTAAAAACTAAAACTAGGTTTTATCCGTTTAATTAAATGCAATGGTTAGTTTAACTTTATCTCAATTCGAGTTTACTCGAGAGACCGCACTTAGTCTCCCTCTCTTGCATGCCAATAAGCTCTTCCTGACCTCCCCTTCATGTATCTTTATAGTTTTTGCATGTGGTTTCGTCTCCTCGCTCTATCCTTTTATTTGTTTTTGTATTTGCTCACCCTCGGCTCCCTATTCTCTTTCATGGCTCGAGTCTATGTAGGATGATTGAACTACAATGTTGGTTCTCTTTGAACTTGCGTTGTTTATTTTGAATTGACCTTAACAATTTCTTTGAAGTGGCCAAGCTTGTGTTGGTTTGAAAGTTGAGTTTAATGGTTCTGTGTTTTTATATGAAATCCTTGCATTTGAATTTTCTAGTTTGTGAACTTTGTAGAATTAGATTATGATCTTGAAGATGTTTTTAGTCATTTGAATCAAGCAGCTGTCATTAAGTTCATAGAGCATTGCAGTGAAGTAATGAATTGAGGAAAGTTCAATTGGGTGAGGAAAAATTATTGCACAACAAAATCATCCTTAAACATAGACAAAGGTATACAGGTGCTTCTTTTGATTTGAATCCACTTATGATCCTTGAGAGTTTAGACTTATTCTTGTGTTGGGTCAAAAAATTTGTTGTTGCCAAGCTTAAATTAAGGGTTCGTTTGACACATATCTTTGGCTATTTTTCTTTTAACCATTGCCATAGTTACATTTAATTATCAAAATTTGTTATGGTGAGCAATAACTTTTTATAACTACATTTGCTAGAGCGTGGTAGTTGTAAGAGTATTATTTGATTTTTTTTCAAAAGAGAAAAAATATATAAAATATAAAACGTGCGGTAGTTTTCAAATTATTTACTTTTTGTTATAACTATTTGTACAAATTGTTGCATCCTCACTAGGGGTGTAAATGAGTTGAGTATCCGCTTAGTTGAGCTAAGTTTGTTTAGTTCTTATTAAGCTTGAGCTCAACTTTAGCTTGTTTACTGAGCTCGACGTTGCCTTCTTAAAAAATTTATAGGCTCGAGCTCATTTGGAAAGCTCGAGTTTGACTCAATTGTTGAGCTCGATTTCTTTGTTTTAAATTACAATTTTCAAAAATTTTTAGAATTTTATTTTTAATATAGAATTAGTTTAAAATATTAAAATATATTATATAATGTCATTTTAAATTAATTTTTAAAATTATTTTAAGTTATTCAACGAACTTTTGAGCCAAGCCAGGCTGAGCTCGAGCTCGAGCTTATTAAATATATGGGCTTGTTAAATATATGAGCTTGAGCATGCTTGGCTCACTTACCCCCCTACTGATCATATCCCAATTAACTTGTAAATGAATTGTAGTATCGGTTGCATAGTTCTTTGGTTGATTTATATGCTTCTGCTTATGCAATTCTGTTTGTTTGAGTTTCTACTAAGGAACGGTTCATTTCCTCTACCTAATACCATCATATGATATCATAGATGCCCTTTAACTTTATTAATTTGTTTATCCTAAAAAATCTAGTTTAGAAGCTGATCATTGTATCTAAAAATTTATTTCTAATTTTATGTAAAATCTATATATTTTAGGAAAATTAGTGTGATTGACTTTTATAGGGAAGTTAGAGGGCCTGTTTGCATACAGGTTGGATTTAACTCGAATAGGATTCAGTGTAAATCCTGTAATTCCAGAGTTACTAAAAATTGAAGGTGTAAAATGCTGAAAGCTGTTTGGCAGTATAAAGGTCCAGTCTCATTAAATATTGATGTACTGTTTAGATACTTATTGTAGGATTTAAAGTCTGTTAGTTGGAATAAAATTTTAAAAATAATTAATATTAATAAAATTAGTGCTTATTCCATAATTATAATGAAATTAATCAAATCATACTGAATTATATTTATTATATATTAATATACTAATAAATAAGAAAAAATATAAGTTATATAATAAATTGAATTCTTCTTATCTATTAAGTTGATTTTTATTATTACTATAATCTGTAAAGCAAAGCAAATGAAAGAAAAAAAAGCAGAGCATAAGTAAGAAAAGCTGATAGGAATCGAGAAAGGGGGTTGTATTCTTCTCTGCCATTGCTGTCTATTTCCATAATCTCTCTTCACTTGGGTCTTTGTCCATGTCCTATAGCCCTAAGCCCGTCTAGGGTTTGCTTGTCCTCGCCGCGTTGCTACTTCGGCTTCACATGAAGTAGTGTTTTGAAAGAGTCGCTTTATGAAACTTTTCCTCCTTCAACGACGTTATTGTTTCTATTGTATTGGAAGTTGCTATGGGAGCTTGCCACAAAGGTAACAATATTTCTCCCCTTTTGCGTGCTTCTTTAGCTAAATTCGTAAATCCGCCAAAATATAGGATTTACGAAATCCGGGATTTATAAAAAAATGTGGAAAGCATCCTGAAGTGGAGCTTAGACTTACCGTGAGATTCAACTTTGTGTTTTTTTAAAGTTTGGCAGGATTTAGCTCTAATCCTGCCTAAATCCTGCATCCTAACCGACACATAGTGTTTCTGTAGGTATCAAAAGCTTTTTATTTTGAAGGAAATAGTCTTTGCCAAAACTTTGCTATTGAATTTAGCTTAGAAGCGTGCAACTTGCTTATGGAAATTCTATGTTTTAGGCTTTCTGTTTCTTTCAAATGTATTGCTTTTAAATAATTAGGTTTGTGGTTTCGGCTTCTTTTTTAAAAAAATACTAGTTTTTTGTGTCTTAAATGTTCTGGTTCTTTTACATATACATTTGCTCACATTAGTCATTTATGACTTTTTCTGCGCAAAATTTGCTGATTCCTAGCTGTAGATGTATTCCTTCGTAATAAGATTTTGTATATTCCTGTTGTAATTCTCATCTAGATGCGCATATTTTGTTGAAAATAAAATTGTCGTGTCAAAATGTCTCTTAGTGTGAAGATCATGTCTTTTACATCTTTCTCGTATTTATTGTCAGGCACAAATGCGTGATCTGACAGGATTTGTTGAAACGAGACAGCAACTTCTGGCACTAAAACCAAATCATCGTACAAACTGGATTGGTTTTGCTGTTGCACATCATCTTAACTCCAAGTATGCTGTAAAACATTTTTCATTTTTCTTGTTATGTTTTTTGTTTTCATTTTAGTGCTTCTATGCCCCAAAAAAAAAAAAAATCTTAAACTGTAAAAACAGAGGATGTGACATCATATGGAACTGACCCGTTCCTCTTTTATGTTTCATTTTAAACCTATTTTCCTTTTTGTTGCTGTTTAGCTGAGGCATCATGCCTTTAATTACATGCTTCCCCACTCTTTGCATTTTCGTAACAAAGTGTGCTACATTTTTAAGTAAGTATCATCCCATTCCATTTGATATTAAGTTCATAATGGATACTTGATTGCAATTAATTAGGAATTTAGAGTTCTAAAGCCAGTCTGTTGTTACATATATTTATTTGGTTTTAGTGCATGCTCAGTCAGTTACATATATTTATGTTTATCTGAGAATTTTCATATTGAGTTGATATGTATTTCATAAGCCAGCTATTATATAAATGATATTCATTGCTTGTATTAGTCTTTATCCAGTATTTTCCAAGAAGCCCATTCCTTCTGAAGGAATTCTTGTTTAATGAGGGTGAGTTCTATGATATTGCTATTATTGAGCTTGAGCGCATGTTTTGGTCTCTTTCACATTTCCTATTTTTCTGAGAAACGCAATTTTCCATATTTTATGTGAACACCATGTTTTTTAGAGATAAATATCTAGCACTCGCTTTTGTTATTATAAATACTGTCAATTATAATTGCTGTTGTTCAAATAACGTGTGATGGTTGTTTTATCTTCTGTATTCTTTTAATATGGTTTACTTGCAACTTTGTTTGTCTTCGCGGCCCCTATCTTGCATACTTGTTACAATAGCTGACTTTTGTTATTTGTTAATATTCTTCTAACATATTAATCATTTGCTTAGCTCATATGGACGTTCCCACCAAATTATTCTGTTTTTTTGTTCACACTAAATGTTTTTTTTTTTTTTCTTTTAGTTGTTCAAAGGCAATTGATATTTTGGACGCCTATGAAGGGACACTAGAAGATGATTATCCTCCTGAAAATGAGCGCTGTGAACATGGAGAAATGCTTTTGTATAAGGTGATTTGTAATTTGATTTCTCATTTAAGTTTTATGATTTAATAGTAATAAATTTGTAACGTTCTATTCTATCTGTTTCAATGTCACTAGTATTGCTGTTGTCTTAAACATCATCAGCTCATACTTGCGAAGCTGGATTCTGACCCAGAGCTATTTGTATTAAAATGATAATGGGATAGAACTTGGCAGTCAGGCTTTCTTAGTTCTTTTACCTTTTTATTACTGTTTTTTAAATTATTGTGTGATTGGTGGTGAACTACAAATGTTTGGCAGCAAAGATGTCATTAGCTACTTTGGTGTGGTAGTAATGAAATTGTTAGGATGGACACGTCCTAAAACTAGGAAGCACATAATGCCGAGTGATTTTATTAGAGATGGTGTAGGATAGGCACTGGAGGGCCATGGAAAATAGAATTCAGTGATTTGCACATGTAATTATGAGAATAATACGAACTCCTAAGGATTGTAAACATAATATATTTTAAATGCATTGGAAGGTGAATAGTTTGACCAAATGTGTCTGCGTTGGAAATTGTAGAAAAAAGGAACACTACGTGCAACAACACTCACCTTAAATGAGTGGAAAAAAGAAATTTTAAAGCGGCCTGATGGTTTGTTTAATGCAAATGATTGTGATTCTGTGATTGTTGGAAAAAAAAAAGTTTATTTCTTCAAAAAACTCATTTCTTCCTTTTCTTCTATTTTTTTTTTAATTATTCGAGTCATACCTACACATTTATATTTGTTTGTAAATACTGCGTATTTGATGAAATTGACATTTGAATGATGTGAAGAGTGTTCTTAATGCTTTTTAGGTGTTTATTTCATTTAAAAACCTATCATTGGAGAATTTGGTATTGAGCTGAATTCTCCACTATCGTTTGCTTATAGTTTTATAGTATTACATATGTAAAATAAAGAGGCATGCATTGCTCTTGTCATGAAAGTGAGTACGTTGGCCTTGATATGCACAAGCTGAAGAGATACAGGGAAAAAGATCTGAGGATAGGATTTTGCACTGTTATTGTCACGATGTTCAACTGATTGCATTATGGATGTTAAAGTATTGCCTATGTGATTCAACAAGGGTACCTTTACTGGTAGCTTACAGCGATAGAGCATATGTTACTAGCCATGCATTTTAAAGATTCGCAGGCCTTGGGGCGAACTGAACTTCAATAGTTCTCTGGAAAATCATTTTATGTTGTGTGATAAGTAGTGTGGTAGACTCAACTTCCCCAAGCCACCATCACACTAGGGCACATCACATCTACTCAGTTGTGCTTGCACCCGAGTTGATAAAATGTTTGAAAGCATCCTCTTGTCCTTTTGTATGAGGTAGTGTTTTAGAAATCAGACTCTTGTGGGAACTATTACTTTAAAACTGCTAGATTGTGCTCATCTTCTCAAATCCAGTGGATGTTATGGATGCTGTGTTGTACTTTAATCGTTTCCCCATTACAGATGTGTTATCCGTTCTTAATAATAATTTCTGGAGATTGATTGTGGCTGTCTTTCCAGTTCCTCTGCATAATTGTTTTGTTCTGGAATTTTTTGCCTTATTATTCTTCATGGAACTTATCCCGTATTAGCAAGAGTATTTTAAGTGTTAGTATTTCTTTTTTGGTGGCAAAATAAGTTGATCTATTCTGTATGCACAATACAGATGTCTACATTTCACAAATTTTACTTACGTTGTGGGTATTTTGTTCTAGAAGAGATTTTTGCATATTTCCTCTGGAAATGCTAAATATGTTTTCTTCAGGTATCTTTGCTGGAAGAATGTGGTTTGCTTGACAGAGCACTTGAGGAGATGTACAAGAAGGAGGCAAAAATTGTATGTCTGATGATCTGATCCCCCTTGATGTTTGTTTAAAAGAAGATTAAATGCATTACTTTTATATTAGCATACTATTTAATAGACACTTTTATGCATATTTTATGTGCTTTCTCATCTTGAGCCATCTTCAACAGCTTTATGTTAATTCTCAGCAAAATCATTGAATTTATTTAATGGCATCCGTCAATTTATTAATTTTAGTTTAATTTTGAGCCAGCATTTTATGATTCATAGATAATGCATGTCTCATAATGCTAATCAGGTAGACAAATTAGCATTCAAGGAACAATTGGTGTCTATACTAGATAAACTTGGTCGCGTAGAGGACGGAGAGAAATTATATAGGTCACTGCTTCTTATGAATCCAGACAACTACAGGTAATTTTTGTCAGCACACCATGTCGTTGTTGTTTTCTTATTGCTTTTTAATTACATCAAACGTTAACATGTCTTTATAATATTTGCATCTTTATTTACTAATTGCAGCAAGCAAATTGGTTTCTGACTTTTATTCATGTCATTGCGCTCATTAATTTGGGTGTCCTTTAAGCTATTTGTTTGATGGTATCTTTTATTTCATTTATCTTCCTCGCCCACCCTATTGAATCAACCCTATTAGTTGGTTCTGTAAATGTTTTTGGTGGAACTTATCAAACCAACCTGATCCCTATGTTGCCCTGATTTCTTTTCAAATAGTGTGTGGGCCATCTATAAGTACCCAAATAGAACCTAACCTAAGCCTACCAATTTGACGCAACTGAACCCTTCCCAATTCCTGGTGCCCTGGCAAATGGAAGTTGATGTAGTTTATTGTTGACCTCCCAGAAAAGCCGAAAACCCTGCGTAAATCCCGCTTAAACCCCACATACCTCGTACCTGTTCAGTGCCGTTTACGTCACTTCCCATAATTCGCCCGTCTCGATCGCGTCCCCCCTCCTCGCTGTTAAAATGACGACGAGTGACCCTTCGTTTTGATTCCCGCATACAAGCCTACAGCTTGCAATCCGCTTCTTCTCTTGCCAAACTCCAAAGCTCGATGCCATACCCATTTGATCACTAGCTTCCTCACACTCGAAGACCCCCGCATCCTATCATCTGCACACCTCCAACCTATGATCCAACCGACCTCAGCCATAAGCCAAGCTGGCCCATGTCCTTCAAGACCAAGCCTTCCAAGTTCCAATCCTCCTTCACTGCCCCGATCTCCTCTTATATCCAATCCGAGCACCACAGCTCGATTCGAAGCCCCGATCTAATTGACAAACCCTTCACTCAGACCGGCCCCCATGTTAAGCCGTCCCACCTCCAAGCTCTGTTCGAAACACCAATCCAAAACGCAGACCTTCCAATCCCGCTGCTACAAGCCCCGTCGATCAAGATCTTACCGTTTTCACCTCCCAAACCAATTTCGACAATTCCAATCGACTCCCAACTGTCTGCGGCCAAGGATCCCTACTTTCGATCACTTCCTTCCACGCTACTATAGCCTACTCCGATCTCAATTGATCTGCAGTCGAGCCCTACCCAGTAGCCGAAGGTTTAGTCCACACCGAGTCCCATCTCACTGTGTCGTGAATCCCAACTTGTCGAATCCCTTCAGTCCTACAACCACACTTCATTCACTTCCGATCCATCTCAACTGACCCTTCCTCCTACATCCAGTCAACTCCAATGTAACAAGATGCAGCTCTCAGCCTCTTCACACCCTAATCTTCATATATAAGCTATTTTAGAAGTCCAAGAACATGCACCCTTCACTCAACATTCCAATAGCCTTTAACAGAGAAAAATTCTCTCTCTATTATTATTATTATTATTGTTGTTGTTGTTGTTGTTACCCAGTAAAAAAAGAGAAAGTAAGAGAAAAAAAAAGAGAAGAAAAAATAAAAAAAAAAATTGGAAAAGAGTGAGAAGAAGAGGATGTGTGCTTTTATATCGCCGTCAACGCTGGTCCCAATCAAGGTATAAATGATTTCTCAAACTCAAAACTCCTCAAACCCCATTTTCGGTGCTCGCGGTGCACCATAAAATCACATATACATGCTTTTCTCTAGCGTTGTGGGAGGGAATCCAGTATGAAGATTGCGGCGAGGTGGGCATGCCATGTACATGCTTTTCTCTAGCGTGGCAGGGACAACATTAAGTACCCTTGTACGTGCCTCAGTGCCTGCTGGGAAAAATTGCATCTTTCAAACAAGTACCCTTGAAGACCCATACACGCCTTTCTCTGGCGTGGTGGGATTGAAGACCATGGCCGCGGTGTAGTTCGACACCTACCATACACACTTTTTTTAAGTATCGTGGGAAGGTCCAGACTCCCCAAATTTCCCCTAAACAAGGGATACGTTGGGAGGTTGCCGTATTTTTCAGTGAACATAGGACTTAAATGAACAACATAAGACTGAACTTGTAGATTACCGAACCACGAGGAACTTGACTTGAACAAATTAACAGGGACCGAACATTAAATTGAAAAATGCATGGTCATGACCAAAATACAAATGGCGAATAATAATCTGGTCATGTAATTGAATATCAAAGAATAATCCATAGGATAAATGACAACCTGCCAATTAATATGCGTGGGGAAATCAACAATGAATAGAGCTCACTTGGTAGTCAGCATTTTTATGCAAATGAATATACCAATTCATCTATGGACAATGAAACTTCTTGCAAACACATATAATACGGCATACAATGAATGGGAGCATCCACAAGTGAATGTAGGAAACTCATAATGCATATAGTAGTCCAATTACACACAATCAACAACCATGCAAAATGCGAACTCCTATGGGTCACTATAGGAGACTCCCCATTCATACAGTAATTCACCTACGAGTGATGGCTGGCAACATGCAACCAAGACAACCGAGTCCCTTGTAAGCATACACAATGCAGCAAGCAATGAATGCGAACACCTACTGGCAATGATAGAAGATATGTCTAATGCTCAGTAACACACCTATGGGTGATGATTATGAATAGGCAGTGAATGCTATAACCCTTGCGGTCAACCACCATTCAATGTCAGGCAAAATACATTGATCCTCTACAAGCAGAGGTGGATGATATACAACAAATGCAAATACGTACGAGTCATCGTAGGAGACTTGTTATGCACAAGTGATATATAATCTACAAGCAAAGACTGAAGATCACAACAAATACATAAGGACAACGACAAATGCAAGTCTCTACGAACTACTGTAGGAGATTCATTAGTGGACGACAATCTCCCTATATAAAGCAACAAATGATCCATAGTACAACGCTATGATTCATCTATAAGCAAAAGAAGGAAATCAATAGTAAAAAGTTACAGGTCATTGATAAAACGAAGTATTAAATTTACAGTGTTAGGCTGCTAAACCAAATAAATCAGCTTATTTGCAAGCGATAAGTAGGAGATCCTTGATGCATCACATAGTTCATTTGCAGGTTGAAGTATATTCTCGCAAGCTGAATGCTGAGGAAAATATAACAATTTGTTGAAGACAAGATGAACTAAACAACACCGCCGATGTGTAATAAAAGAAGTACAACACCACGCCATCGGATCCACAACCTGCATACAAGCGGACATAAGGTGTCTACCAATTATAAAATAAAACCTTGCATACCTATCAACAGGGGTCATTTGCATAACTGGTTATTCTAACCCCCCCCCCCCCCCAAGCATTGAACTAAGAATCCCCACATGGGCCTCGGTGAGTATGTAGTATGCACACGCACGACGTATGAATATGTTGTGCGGGTCAAACAATAAACCTATATTCAAGCCCGATCCTCCCATGTGAGCAGATAGGAGTAGGGGTGTCAATATTTGACACGATCCGAAAACCCGTCTCGAACCCAACCCGAAAATTCCAGGTTAGGGTCAACCTGGACCCGAAACGGGTCGGGTTCGGGTTGACCCGGAAACCCGGTTTTGACCCGTTTTGACTCGGAATTGGAAAGGGAGCGATGTTGCGAAACGGGTATTGGCGACATATTTCTATAACTTTATCCTCTTTGGTTTGTTCTCTATGGTATTCCGAGAACCTTAAGCCTGTCTAGGGTTTGCTATTCCTTTTCAGTTTTCACAATGTCTGTCGTCTGATTTCTTCGTTGTGTTCTTGCGTGAACCAGCGTTTTGGAGGTATCTTGATTCCTGAAGCTTCTTCACCTTCCTCAACAATTAAAGTTCTGCATGACCTAGCAGGATAGCATCGCATTCTTTGCCTTCTTTTATAAAATTTAGGCTAAATCATGCTTAATTATCAAATGATTAAAGTTGTTATTTTTATTGTTTGTCAGGATTTAGGGTAAATCCTACTCCATTCCTGCATCCATTCAACATGCTAATCTAATGAAGCAACAACATGTGAAATCCTTCTTAGAAGCCGTAGAAGCAGCGCCGTGTGAAATACTTTCGAAGCAGCAACGTTTGAAATCCTTTATATGCCTTGTTTCGATCTAATTCCTCAGAAGCAGAAACTTATCTCTCTCTCTCTCTCTCTCTCTCTCTCTCTCTCTCTCTCTCTCGACTTCTCCATTTGTCTTCGGCTTATTCAGTTTCACCACTCCACGCGGCCGGCGTCCGCCACCCGGCAAGCCGAGTTGGGCACGCGGCAAACCATTATGCATTTGCATGTGAATCTTTCCATCCTGTAGTGAATGCACTACTTCCTACTTATGATATAACATGGATAGAAGGAAAGTGCCATCTCGTTAATTACCTCTTGTATGTTAATATTTCTCAGTGGTAGGGTTGCAAGCAAACCAAACGTTCAACGAGCTACTCGCTGCTAGGTTCGATTAAAGCTTGTTTGTGATCATTTAATTAACTATACAAACAAACTTGAATAATATTTTAAATATTCTATCCTTAAATAAACAAGCTTGAACATGTGTTCAGCTCATTTATGTTCGTGAACAACATCATTTAAAGCTTTTGAACAAGCTTGACATTAAGCTCGATTCGTGTTCGATTCAGAACTCGTGAATAAGCTCAATAAAAACTCAATTAATATTTGATTATAAAATTAATAAATATACATAATATAAATATTTTATATTTATTATAATATACTAATATAATTATTGTTAAATATTAAAATTTAAAGTAATTAAATACTATAACATATGCTAACTAAAATAAAATTTACATATTTATTAAATTTTACTTAATAGGAAAGACAAAAGCAGTGTGGAAAACATCGGACCCTTCCCTCGTAATTTTTCCCTCGCCATTTTGCCCTAGTTTTAAAAAAATTTGCTAAATATGTTCAGGAACATGCTCGATATAATTGTTTGTTAAGAGGCTCGATAAATCTCGTTTGTTAAGTTAATGACCATTTAGAAGTAGAGCTCATTTATAGCTCGTTAAGGCTTATTTGTTTAATGCTCGATAAGCACTAAACGAACTGAACATAAACCAAACATGAACACTATTGATTTAAACGAATCAAACATGAACACAAACAATGAAACTCGAATCAAACACGGACCAAACTTGGACAAGCTGATAATAAATGAACTCAAACATAAACACTCACATACTCGGCTCGGCTCAGTTCGTTTGCAGCCCTACTCAGTGGAAATGATAAGTGTTCGAGAATAAAGATTTCTGTTGTTACCAGTGGTTTCTTTGTTATGGCATTAAAGCCAATTGTGAAAGAAAAGGAATATTTTCATTCTTCACTTTATGTTTGCACTTGTCTGTGTGCATGCATTTATTGATGAAGTCTACTTTTTGACAATGCCTTTATGGACAATTTTACTTTGCTTAAGAACAATAAAATTCAATAAAATCTTGGCTAGAATTTGTATAGAGTTCTGTTATCCTATGATACTTGTTTAAAATTAAGAGCTTATTGGGTTGTTTTAATTCTAAGGGTTTGTTTGGTTGGAAGAAAATTAAATGCATTACTTTTACACCACCCCATTGACAGTCCCATTGCAGCTACTTGTCATCCACCACCTCTGATGCCCCCCATCACGCGGCCGTCGGCCGTCCCCCAGCACCCCGCCGTCGGCCGCCTCATCCTCATCGTAGCCCCGTCGCCATCCACCTCCACTACCACTGGCTACTGCTCAACTCCAGCTGATGCTCGCCGCCACCACCGCCGAATGCTGCTGTCGCCGCCCATCGCCTGCCTCCATCGTGGCCTCCACCACCGTCGCCCTCTGACATCTGTTGTTGCTGCTCCGCCACCCGGGCACAACTTTTTTACATTTTACATTGCATTCACTTTACTTCAAACCTAACAAAATAAAGTCATGCATTCCTTTTAAACTAATCCGAACAACTCCAAAGTATTCCTTTTATACTGCATTCCTTTTTCAGGCAACCAAATAGCCCCTAAAATAATTCCTTCAGTTAGGAATCATGTTTATCTAGTTTTGTTTTTTTTGTTTTTTTTTTGGTAAAAAAATAGGTTGCTTTTAGAAAATTTGACACCACATCAGTTGTTCTCACTTTATTATGAAAGCAGGAAGTATGCATTCAAACATGTTTCTGTTGTAAATGAAAGCAAAAACAAAACAAAACACAACTAAACATGTCCTAAATTTCTTTATTTGATCTATTGTGTAAGTTGTAACAGCATATACATCAGAAACATAAAATTTTGTTGTTTGCGTGTGAGGATTATTCACGTTTATTTATTTCCTTAATTGTAATTTTTCCTTCCTGAGATGGACTATTATTTTAAATTTCTTAAGTTGCTTTGAACTAAGCGCCAAATCTGTATGCTTTGTTTAGTAGGCATTTTCAAATTCATTTTTGAAGTAACTTTTGTATTATTTATAAGCCGGACTTCCTAGAATACTGACTATGGCTTGCATTAATCTTTATTTGCATCGTTGCTCCTCAGGTATTTTGTTGGCTTACAAAAGTGCTTAGGGTTGTATTCTGAAATTGGTCAGTATGCTACCGAGGCAATCAATCAATTAGATGTTTTATATAAATCACTTGCAGAGCAATATAGCTGGTCATATGCTGCAAAGGTAAACTCTCAATGCTAGTTTTCTTTAGGTTTTGTTGGTGTGTTATTATCTTTCTGGTTTGTTATATCCCATTTTTGAGTTTCTTGTGCAATCTGTACTTGACTAACATTTTGATGTTGTTACTTAATAGGATTAAAACAGTGTACAATACATGAAATGAAATGAAATAGAATCAATCTACCTGCCAAAATGTAAAAAAAAAAAAATTAAAAAAATAAAATAAAATCGCTCATAAGAGGGGTTTGTAGGACAAAGGCATAACAAATGGGGCTTTTGTCCATCTGGAGCAAAGCATGCACTTTCCAACTTAAGAAAGTGCTTCTTATCTACCCATTCCTTGATGGTGAAGAGAAGTGCTTATGTGTGCTTGCTTTACTTCGCTTTGCTTTCATGCACATTTTTCATTGAGCTTTTAGCAACAGTGCCTGTCATATTTATCATAATATGTACATTTCGGCCAGAATTTTTATTTCTAGTTTTCTTAGTTTAGAATTACCTGTTCCATGTGAACTGCTTACAATAATGGTGCAAAAAGGAGAATTTTTGTGAGATCATATATCTAAGGGATTAGAAGGATGCGGACTTGATAAAATAAAATTAATATAATCATCTCTTAGAGATTTAACTTGAATACTTTTAACCTTAAATTTAGTTTAGATATGAGCTATTAAGAGACTATAAATTGAAGTTGTGTTTTGGAAAGGCATGATGGCGTTATTAATGTTCAAACGTTTACTTTTGGCAAGTCTCATGCTGATTACGTGGCCTGTAATTAATTTGTAAATCAAAATTAGCAAATTTTCTGAGTCTTGCATGTAAGAATCATATTGAAAGTTGATGAACTTGTTAACAGTTAAACCGCTGTGTTGTGTATGCGCTGGGAATGGCCTCATTGGTCGCATTATATATGTTGGAAGGACCTCATGGACCCATGTGGCAGTGGGTGTAAGTGGCGAGAATGCTATCAGGCTCTTTTCTTTCTTTTATTCGACTCTTTTTGCCTTTTCAATAAATCTCGTAATCATGAAAGCTAGAAGAAGAAATGGACTTGGGTTGAAAGCTTATGCAGCTCTTTTTTCTAGTCCAATATTTTTTTGTTGTGCTACTTTCATGATCGGCTTAAATTTTGATGTCTTTTTTTTTTTTTTTTTGGTTTTTGTCATGTCTAAGATGTTGCCACCTCATTAGTTTTAGAGGCCATTGTTCTCCAGCTGCAAAGTTTACTATTTTTTTTTCTTTGTTTGCTTAGAGAATTCCACTTGATTTTTTAGAAGGTGAAAAGTTCCACCATGCAGCAGACAACTACGTTAGACCTCTTCTTACTAAGGTAACAAAGTTTATTTATGTACCTTTCGTCATTTATTTGTGTTTTGTTAGAGCAATGTTTTTCAATCATGTTTTTTTTTTTTCTGAGAATAATGCATCTTAGTGTTACCTTAAAAGCATATATATATATTTATGGAGCTAAGTTACTTGCTATTGCTACATTTTTATTTTTGTGTTCTTCATGCAGGGAGTTCCTTCACTGTTTTCTGATCTTAGTCCCCTGTATGATCATTGTGGAAAGGTGTGCTCTGGCAAAAGCTTTTTTTTTTTTAAGTATTATGGTCTGCTATTTCTTTACTGTCATAGATTTTGTCTTGTAACTTCAGCTTCAAATCGCCATGACAGGCAGATATCCTAGAGCAATTGTTTGTTGAACTGGAAACTGCAGTAAAATCAACTGGATGTTTTCCTGGAAGGTAACTTGGCATCTTATTAAATTTGTATGATTCGTTTTACATAGAAATTTTTACAATTGTGAGTCCTGGTGTTCCAGTTTATGCTTATGATCAAACCAGCCGGACTTCCTGTACTTTCTATTTTTGAAATTATCAAGTTTTTTGATAATAAATTTGTTGAGAATTTCTATTCTATGATCTTTGCTCTAAATTTTATCTGAATTTTAGGGATAGGAAGGAACCACCTTCAACACTTCTATGGATTCTCTTTTTGCTATCTCAGGTTCGGTTTCTTTTAAGCTTATGTTGTGGCCACTTCCAGTCAATTTTATTATGCTTGCAAATATGAGTTCTTACTTAGGAAGCACATGTCGCAGCATTACGAAAGAAGGGGGCAGCATGGTCTTGCTCTGGTTAAAATTGATGAGGCCATCAAACATACCCCCACTGTGATAGATCTTTACTCTATTAAGGTATGAGTTACATTGTACAGGGTTCAGTGAAGTTGATGTCTAATATAGGAGAGCTCTGTTGTGCCTTCTGCATCAAGATAAAGATCTATGCATGAATTTGGAGGAATACCAAATAATTGCTTAAACTTTTCTCATGCCTGAATAGGGAAGAGTACTAAAGCATGCTGGTGATTTGGTAGCTGCAGCTGCCTTGGCTGATGAAGCTAGATCTATGGATCTAGCTGACCGTTATTTAAATAGTGAATGTGTTTTGCGAATGCTAGAGGCAGATCAGGTAATTTTTTTCTGTTTGTCTTGATTCATGGATGTGCCTTCTTTATTTTTCCCTTGTTCAACTAATTTTTTTTACTGAAGGTTGGACTAGCAGATAAGACAGCTGTTTTGTTTACCAAGGATGGAGATCAACACAACAATCTGCATGACATGCAGTGCATGTGGTATGCTATCTAATGATTTTGCAGCCAGTTAACTTACTATTTTTTATTCTTCCTCATGATTCACACAAATTTTGAAAGGTATGAGCTCGCCTCTGGCGAAAGTTACTTTCGCCAAGGAGATCTTGGGCGGGCCTTGAAAAAGTTTCTTGCAGTAGAGAAACATTATGCAGATATGACTGAGGATCAATTTGACTTCCACTCTTACTGCTTAAGAAAAATGACACTGCGAGCTTATGTTTCAATGTTGAAGTTTCAAGATCAGCTGCATTCACACTCATACTTCCATAGTGCAGCCACAGGCGCTATAAGGTAAAGTTTCTCCACCGAGTTTTCAACCCCAAATAGCCATATTATTTAGTTTTTTTGCTTTCCTGCAAGTATAATGCCATTTGCGCACTGGGATTTATTGAATTTATGTACAGTTATCTTTGTCAATGTTTAAGAGATGACTTTGTCGTTTATACTTTTAAAGATTGAGTCTTAGCACTTGCCTGGAGTTCCTGTGTCAGTGCCTTTTGTATCACTCGTCTTGTAGACTTCATGATGTTGAACTTTGCTTTGATATATATTTTGTATGTTTAGGGGCAATGTGCTTTGAAAGCATTTGATGTTTCTATTTTTTCTAAGATATAAATAAATATATTTAAATTGTAGATTTGGACCCAAGATATTAAATTTGAGTTTGTCTAGTTAGGTGCAGCTACATTTTGCCCATTTCAATTTTTGCATTTTCACACTTCATTTGTTATAGTTCATGCAGGGCTTGTTAGTGCTGCCTTTGTTTGCATTCTTTGTTCCTATACTATTTTGCAATCTACAAATTCTATCTCCACTTATGCGTACAAGTTTATAATATTTGCCTCCCCTCCTTTTTTAAAAATTTTGTTTTATATGGCTTGATAAATTGTTGATTCGATAGTTTTTATTAGTTTTGTGTTTTGTCATGCTAGGTTCGACTAAATAGTTGGACTAATGATGATGATGGTGGTGGTGATATGATAGATTGGTGTTTAATATCTATTTGATATGGTGTCATCATTTTGAAAATGTTTAATCCGGTTATCTTCCTAATATTTCAACATAACTATGGATTCAAGTAAATGGTATAAATTTAATAAACAAGGACATAAATCTAATTGTTGCCTTGTTGTATGCATTTTGCCTATGAGAAATCTATTAAAATAAGAGAAAAATTCGAAAAAGAAAATTTTTAGAAGATAAAGGGTTTAGAACTAATAGAACAATGATCGATGTATATGATATATGATTTTTGTGTTTATGATATTAATCATTGATTGTTATTACTAGAAGATAAGTTATGCCAAGGATTGGTGTGATAGATTTAGCTATCCTGGATCTTTGATAGGAGAATGGAGATATAGATAAGGATATAACTTATAGAGTTATTATTATTATTATTAAATTACTAAATGCCTCTAAAGCGATATGTTATTTCAATGCTTGAAGCATCATGGGCCATCATTGGCACTCTTTTGAGCAAATAAGGCAGTATAAAAAATAATTTCATATAATGAACTTGTTTTGATTATGAAGAAGACTATCGCAGAGTATAATTTCAAAGGGGTGCATCCTGTGCATGGAACATGCAAGGTCTGGGGAGGGTTATTAAGTGATAAACATAACATTGAATAGTATTGTATAAAATAATTTTTTTTTTTTGCATTTCTAATTTAAAAAATGTTATTATAGAAAGTCTTAAAAATATATCCAAAATACACTTTTAAAACTTGAAACCTTTACGACTATAGTTGATACAACTTAATTTCCAATGAGCGTCCGTGTGTCCCCTTACTCTTGTGTTTTTCCAAATCATCCCATATTAAATCTTCACCATAAAAACCTTCATATTTCAAATTCTAAGTATCAACCCTCATATCCCTATTCAAGGCAATGTGCATGCCTTAGTGATGGCACACACATAGAAGTGTATGCGGCATTATGATCTTGTCTTTTCTTGCGTAGGATCCTACGAGCTTCATGCCCTTAAGGCTTTAATAATATTATCATTTCAAGCTAGTTTTTAATAATGGAGAACTGCCTCAAAAGTATTCATTGCTAAGAGAATTTCATTCAGGCTGAAAGGTAAGTTTTATAAAACTATAATTAGGTCGATTAGGTGGCTTAGACTTATACAATGAATGATAGAAAAATGTACCCATAGGACATGCAAATAAAATTAATGTCAAAAAGTCGAGAATTGAAAGGGGCAGGCTCTAGGTAACATGGACATCAATTTCTGAAAAAAGAGTTATGCATGACAGATTTAATATCCCTTGCAACACTGGGTAAGATTTAATGGGGAATTAGGATTCATAGTGCCTATCCAAAATAGTTGTCATTAGGCCAATGACATTGATGATGATGATCAACGAGGGATAAAATTGTTTATTCAAAGAGAAGAACAGGGAACTTGTAGTCATTGAAAGACTATTGTTGTTATTAGTTTCGAATTATAGCACAAAATGCCTTGTGTTAAGGATAATTTTGATTTATGAATATCAAACTCATTCTTCATTTGTTTGTTAATTTATTTTAGATAATTGATTGGGATATTTATTATGTTTTTTAGTTTCTCGTAAGTATCTTTATTGGTTGCTTTAGCTTTAATTCAATGTTGATTTTTAACTCTAATACTTTCTTCAATGTTTGTATGTCATTCTACAAATGGATTTTGCTGCTTCTCAATGTTATTATGCATGAAAAAAGAGTTGAGTACATTATTTTGCATCACATCTTGATTTCATATAGTAGCCATCTAAATTTTAGTTGACACTGCACAACAATTAACACATTTTTTATCTTTTGGTTCAAACTGCCGCATTCACACAATTTTCTATTTGATTGATGGAACTTTGATAAATCACAATTCCTAATATATTTTTGTGAGGTATGCAAAGAGACCAATTTTTGTTCAATTTCTTAAATCTAAATAGTGAAGAAAAAATTTTGTGAATTATATTTATTAATGGGAAAATATTGATATATTATTAACTAATTGAAAGTGCCTATTTGTAGGTGCATCGGATGAATATAGTAGAAAACAAATAAGAGAGAATAACTACAATTATGATAGAAGAAATGCATAATTTCTTAAGTTAGCTGTTTTCTTCATATAAATTTGTCCTAAATATTGTTTTACCAATGTGTTATATGGAAACATCCCCCTCGAGCTGTAGTAGTAGTGCCTCAAAGTCTCGGTGAAGATATTTGTTACTTATTATGAATTGTAAACATAAGGAGTAATAATCTTCTTCGAAAGTACATGATTCCGATGAAATGACATTCAACTTCGTTATGTTTTGTTCATGAAAAATAAGATTGTTGGCAACAATTTTCACAACATTGTATCAATAACTGATTGATGGAAAAGCAAAGCTCTATATTAAATCTCTGAAATGGACCTAGCCACAACAGTTTATTAATTTACTTTTCGGAGTTATTAGGTTACCTCAAGCAAAGATATACTATAATGAAGTGTGCTTTTGTCTTCAATGAAGCAAAGATACACAATAAAGGTTGGAGTAGCTCCAGTGGCAGATATGATTAGAGAGAGTTGCCTTAGATGGTTTCGTCACATAGAATGTTAGCCTTTCGATGACCTGGTTAGGAGAGTGGATGTATTAGATTTGGTTAAGAAAGATAGAGGTTGCCTTAAAAAGACTTGGTTAGAAAATATTAGAAATGACATTTTTTATTAGATTTAAATGAAAATTGGGCTTTTAACATAATACAATGGAGAAAAAAGATTCATATAGCCGACCCCATGTAGTGGGATAAAGGCTTGATGTTGTTGTTGTTGGAACCAACAATCATTACAGAAAGATTGATGTAGAACGGGGGGGGGGGGGGTCATGTGAATTTCGAAAAGTTAATCAAAATCAAACGAAATAAAACAAAAACGGATGGTGAATGGTGGAGACTAGAGATGAGAGGACGGAGAAGAAAGAAAAAATAAAATAAAAACGATACAAACCACGAGCCCAGACTCTTCCTGCGGCTTGTGGTTATTATGTTGCTCACCAAGGGACTTCAATCCACGAGCCCGGATCCATCCTACGGCTGGTGGAAACAAGGTTGTCCTCCCATAGGACTTTTCCTCTCAAGAACTCACACAGAGATCAAGACAAAGGCTCCAATTCTTTTTTTATTCATAATCCATCCTTCCTAATAAGGGGCCTCTATATATAAGCCTCAAAAGAAAATAAAAGACAATTTGCCCCTTGGGCTTACATAAGACAAGCCTCTTAAATAAAAGGGTAAAAAGGAAAAATTGTAAAATTAAATCAAAATGCAATTAATAAACTAAAATAAAACGGAGATGTCTCTGTCGTCGATCTTCGACTCTTCCTGTGAATATCGTCCACCGTCCGATGTCTGCATTATTCTCCCGGGGTGGAAAAGAGCTCGACTCCGTTGAGTTCGCATCCCGGGCAACCATGCTCTGATACCAAACTGATGTAGAACGAAGGGGGGGGGGTCAGGGGGGGGGGGGGTCATGTGAATTTCGAATTGAAAAAGTGAGGGAAGGGGTCGGCCAAAGAGAGAGCGAAAGGGGATAGGGTGTCCAAGTTCAATGAACGTCGAATTTGAATTGATTCCCAATTAATTTCTGATTTACCCAATCCTTGATTGATGGAAGGCTTTCCAAAATTAAGCTAAATGATTTAGGAAAGAATTTGAAATTTGAAATTCGTTTGAATTTGAATTCGAAAACTTACCAAAGTTAAAACAACTTAATTTAGGAAAGAGTAAATTTTAGAGGGAAAGGGATTTGATTGAGAGCATTAATTGAGGGGAATTAATTAATATGTGAGGGAAAAGGGGGGCGGCCAAAGGAGGGGTAGAGATGTCCACATACGATGTATGTGGCCTAAGGCATTAAATGAGACTTGATATTAAATCTGAATTTGATTTCAGATTTAAAGGAATTAGGGGAAGGCTTCTTAAAATAGATTTGTTAATTCAGAAAAGATTTGAAATTTAAATATCTTTGAATTCAAATTAGGAACTTTCCAAGTTAACAATAGATTAATTTAGGAAGGTAATAAAGAGGCTATTTTGAATTCAAATTTCAAAATTTGTGGATGAGGGAAGAGGCTAGGGGTGAGGTGGTCGGCCGACTATGGAGGTGGAGGGGTTGATGCTTTATCCAAAAGAAAAGTTAATCAAAATCAAACGAAATAAGACAAAAACGGATGGTGAATGGTGGAGACTAGAGATGAGACGATGGAGAACAAATAAAAAATAAAATAAAAACGATACAAACCATGAGCCCGGACTTTTCCTGCAGTTGGTGGGTATTATGTTGCCCTCCCCGAGGGACTTTAATCCACGAGCCCGGATCCATCCTGCGGCTGGAGGAAACAAGGTTGTCCTCCCATAGAACTTTTCCTCTCAAGAACTCACGCAGAGATCAAGACAAAGGCTCCAATTCTTTTTTTATTAATAATCCATCCTTCCTAATACAAGAGAAGGGGCCTCTATATATAGGCCTCAAAAGAAACTAAAAAGATAAATTTGCCCCTTGGACTTACATAAGACAAGACTCTTAAATAAAAAGGTAAAAAGGAAAAATTGCATAATTAAATCAAAATACAATTAATAAACTATAATAAAACGGAGTGATCTCGGTCGTCGATCTTTGACTCTTCCTGTGAATATCGTCCACCGTCGGATGCCCGCATCATTCTCCCGGGGTGGAAAAGAGCTCCCGGGCAACCATGCTTTGGTACCAAACTGATGTAGAACGAAGGGGGGGTCATGTGAATTTCGAATTTTCAAATTGATTGAAAAAGGAAGGGAAGGGGTCGGCCAAAGAGAGAGGGGAAGGGGATAGGGTGTCCAGGTTCAATGAATGTGGAATTTGAATTGATTCCCAATTAATTTCTGAATTACCCAATCCTTGATTGAAGGAAGGCTTTCCAAAATTAAACTAAATGATTTATGAAAGAATTTGAAATTTCAAATTCGTTTGAATTTGAATTCGAAAACTTACCAAAATTAAAACAACTTAATTTAGGAAAGAATAAATTTTGGAGGGAAAGGAATTTGATTGAGAGCATTAATTGAGGGGAATTAATTAATATGTGAGGGAAAAGGGGGCGGCCAAAGGAGGGGTAGAGATGTCCACATACGATGTATGTGGCCCAAGGCATTAAATAAGACTTGATATTAAATCTGAAATTGATTTTAGATTTAGAGGAATTAGGGGAATGCTTCCAAAAATAGATTTGTTAATTTGGAAAAGATTTGAAATTCAAATATGTTTGAATTCAAATTAGGAACTTTCCAAGTTAACAATAGATTAATTTAGAAAGGTAATAAAGAGGCTGTTTTGAATTCAAATTTCAAAATTTGTGGATGAGGGAAGAGGCTAGGGGTGAGGTGGTCGGCCGACTATGGAGGTGGAGGGGTTGATGTTTGATCCAAAAGAAAAGTTAACCAAAATCAAACGAAATAAAACAAAAACAGATGGTGAATGGTGGAGACTAGAGATGAGAGGATGGAGAACAAAGAAAAAATAAAATAAAAATGATACAAACCACGAGCCCGAACTGTTCCTGCGGCTGGTGGGTATTACGTTGCCCTCCCCGAGGGACTTCAATCCAAGAGCCAGATCCATTCTGCGATTGGTGGAAACAAGGTTGTCCTCCCATAGGACTTTTCCTCTCAAGAACTCACACAGAGATCAAGACAAATGATCCAATTCTTTTTTTATTTATAATTCATCCTTTCTAATACAAGAGAATGACCCTTCTATATATAGGCCTCAAAAGAAACTAAAAGTTAAATTTTGCCCCTTGGGCTTACATAAGACAAGACTCTTAAATAAAAGGGTAAAAAGAAAAAATTTGTAAAATTAAATCAAAATACAATTAATAAACTAAAATAAAATGGAGTAATCTTGGTCGTCGATATTTGACTCTTTCTGTGAATATCGTCCACCGTCGGATGTCGGCATCAAGGATTCAATTCAAGTGCTCAATCTTTGTAAATAGAACACTTTTTTCAAAGGACTTGTATACTTAAATAAATAAATAACTTCTCAATACTTTTATTTTGGATGTTGCATGTGTTGGCTAATAATTCCAACAAGAAGTAAGATTTCAAGTTGATAATAGTCAAAGAAATTAACTTATTGACTAACCTTGATATTGAGATGAGATATCCATTAGCTTGTTATCATAGTTTGTGTTCAAGTGGAGACATTAGTTGGATGACAACTAAGAAGATTGGTTTCTTCAAGAAGATATGTAGCTTACTCTCTAAGATAGTGATATCACTTTGTTATAATTAAATTGATGTGAAACCAACCAAGAATTGCAAGGAATTAATAAAAGCATTATGAAGCATGCTACTTTAAGTTTAATAAGTCGTAAGGCAAGATTATAAGAATTCTTAATTAGTAGATTTTTCCTTGGCATGCAGTTGCAAAACTAAGAGATAAGAACACGATAAGACAATTCAGAAATTATCACAATAACACTAGATATGCCGTAATTAAAATCCAAAGTTTAATATCTAGAAAGTTCACCAAGAGTTACCATTCTCACTCACACTCAATCTAGGGTTTTAGCGGAGAGAAGCTTTCAGCACACTAAACGACACCCCTAAGAAGGTAGCAACACCAACGGCTTTGATCCAAGAGAAGGTCGTCGACTGTGGAGGAGTATCGCCCGATGAGAAGCCACAATGCTCGGGGTTGTTGAATCTCAATTGTCTTGGCGAGGCAGTAAATGATGCGGTTGACGTAGCTTTCCACCGAGTCGTCGTACTTCCAATCTAGTTTGTAGAAAGGTGAACTGAGGACTCCACATGTGTTGTAGACAAAACCATGGTCGATCTCAGGATCGGTCATACACTAATGAGGAGAAGGAAGGAGGATATTTTCTTCCTCTTTTGGCTTCAATACTCATGAGAGAACTAAGGTTCCCAAGGGTTGAGAAGCAAGAGAAAGAGAAGGGGGTGGGGTGGTCGGTTTAAGGTTAGGGACTAGGTTGGAGGGAAAATATGAAGTTAATTTCAGATTTCTCTTGTTTAATTGGGTTAAAGGAATTTCAAATTATGAATTTGAAATTAAGGGTTTGAGAGGGAAGGTTGGGAGTAATGGGGCTTTAATTGGAGCCTTGATTTAAGCTTCAATTAGGGAATTAATGAAGGGGCGGGTGTAGGAGGTGAGAGAGGCAGCATGGGCATAGGGGGGCTGGCGGAAATTAGTGAGGGGGAGGGATTTTAGGAAGATGTTTAAAGCTTCCTAAATGAATGATCTAATTTAGGAATAGAAATTGCGATTGCCCATGCCTTGGGCCTTCCTTCCTCTCTCAAGCACTCAACTTTGAGGGAGACAAGAAAAAACTCAGAATTTTATTAATCAATCATCATCCAAATACAAATAAATGAGCCATATATATAGGCCTTGACATGACAAAAAGGAAATAGATCAGAATGCCACTTGGACTTACAAAAGCAAACAAACTATCCATGGGGGTAAAAACGGAAAAACTGAAATATAAAAATAACGAGTACATAAAGTGCATCAAAAGTAAATGCTCTCCATCATGGCCATCGATCTCCGATGTTTCCTCTGATAAACACGTCAAAATCTCTTGTCGATGTCCCCATCATTCTCCCCGGGTGGGAGAAAACTCGACCCTGTCGAGTGAACATCTCGGGAGCTCTCGTATAGCTCTAGCAGATCTGGATCCACCCCTTTGCAGCTCATAATAAAGGGCTTAGATAAAATGATCTGCGGTGTATGGTGAAGATCATTATCTACAAGGGCTTCGTAAATTTTGTCAAATCAAACCCGTGAACTTTGTTCAATACCATAAGCAACATTCATGGTTCTCCTTTGAGCAATTTACCATAGGTTTTGCTCCATGTAAACAACCTCTTGAAGTTCATCATAAAGGAAGGCATTAATCATACCCATTTTTAGGGGAGTCCAACATTGATTGATGGTCATTGAGAGAAGAATTTTAAATAGAGTCAAGTTTGACTATTGGGGGAGAATTTATTTAAAGTAGTTTTACTCATACACATAAGTGAATAATTTAGTAACCATTTGAGTTTTGTATCGATTGATGGAATCATTTGGATGAGTGAAGACCCACAGACAAGCAATTGGTTTAATCTTAGAAGAGTGATAAAGAAAAATCATCCAATAGTTGGGTAATAGGATCATAATATCAATATAATTTTTTGTGTGACAATACCTGGTAAATATACAACGAATGGCATGAGGAGTGAGCTTGTCCGACAAATGAAAAGTATATACAATGGACAACCAAATATTCAACTTGTTTGAGGCCGAAGGTTGGCTATAAATGAGAAGAAAGGAATGTGAAATGTTAATAAAAAGGAATGAGACACAATTAATGAAATTTCATGCCATTAAAATTGGATTGCTCTCCTCACAAGTACCATAGAATCTACAAGGAACATTCATATCAAATATTAAGATACAAGCTCTATCAAAAAGATGCCAATTATTTTGTTCAACCACGATATTCTGTTGAAATGTATAGGTGGAGATTTAATGAATAATGCCCATTGTTAGGGAAGAAAGTTTTAAATTGAGATTGCATAAATTTTAGAAAATCAAAATGTAAACAACATCAAGAAGGTAGTGCTTGTTTCACTTAGCCACACCATTTGTTGAGATGCATAATGGTAAGTGATTTGATGCATGATGCCATTATTAGAGAAGAGAGTTTGAATTGAGATTGCATGAATTTTGGAGCATTATCAGTGTGTAATTTTTTATTAATGCAAATAATGAGATTTTTATTTTTTGATAAAAAGTTTGAAATACATGTAGGACAGTAGATTAGCATTTTAGTAAATAGAAACTCTAGGATAATCAATAAGGAATGTAATAAAACACTAGAATCCCAAATAAGGTTCGAGCTAGAGCCCCAATATCTGACTGGCATGATCAAAATTATGATATTGATGATTAGTTGGTATAGGTAAAGATATACGGTGATGTTAATCAAGTTTGTGGGTAAGAAAATCTGTGCATTTAAAATATAAAATATTCCGATTATTTTTTTATTTTTAATTTAATTCTATCTTTTGACGTGTGAAATATGTGTATTTGTTTTTTAGCGCAGATCTTATATAAAATTGTATGATTCTCCGTTGAAACCAAGTAGTGAAGAAGATGGTGATATATCTGGCATGCTTCCTGCACAAAAAAGAAAATTTAAACAAAAGCAAAAGAAGGCAGAAGCTCGTGCTAAGAAAGTAATTGTAGCCACTATCTAATTCTTTTTTTTTACAAGTAAATTTTAATTAATTTTCTTCGTTTTTTTCTAAAGGAGGCTGAAGAAAGAAATGAAGAAGCAAATTCTAGTAGTATGTCCAAGTCTGGAAAAAGGCAGCATGCTAAGCCAGTTGATTTAGATCCACATGGGGAGAAACTGTTGCAGGTTTCTGCTTGTCTTGCTTCCAGGAGCACTTATATTTATTTAATAATGGTCAGCTATTTCTCTATTGATATTAGGGCTTTTTAATAAGATGAAAAATAATTACAGGTTGAACATCCATTGTTAGAGGCTACGAAATATCTGAAGCTCTTGCAGAATAACTCATCGCAGTCATTAGAAACACATATACTTTCCTTTGAATTAAATATGCGAAAGCAGAAAGTTTTGCTTGCTTTCCAGGTATCTCATTTAGTCCTTTTTTTATTTATTTACAGGCGTTCCCTTTTAACCCAACTTAAATGTCTCAATTTATATCTTGCTGAAATTTTATTTTCTCCCCAAGTAGTGAATATTTGTTGTTTTTAAAATTAAAAATTTTCCTTCATATTTATAGTTTGCTCATATAATTACCGGCAATCTTTGAGTCATCTCTCTGGCAGAGCTCAGTGTGATTTATAACGGCAAACTCCTTTTAGGACACTTGTGAATGGGCCCTCAAATATGATTGATATTAGGCGAATATTCTGGAATAACTTTTCTGCAGTTGTTTGCTATAATATGAACTTCTTTGAAAAAAATATGTTACTTTGTTGCAATGCTTGCTATTTTTTACTTTGTACATTTTACTGTTTAGTTCTTTAATCATGGTTGGTAGGCTTATCTTTGCTTGATATCGATTTATGCTTCTAGTTCCTTACAATGCTTCTTCATACAGGCAGTCAAACAATTGATTAAGTTGGACGAGAATAGCCCCGACACACATAGGTGCTTGGTATGTATCATCTTGATAAATTCCTAGGATTGAATTTGCTATACAAGTTTGCCATTCATTATCGAATTGAACTTCCATAAATCTGCAAAGCCATTGCTTTAGTTGCTTTTATATATTGTCAAATTATCTTTATTTTTTTCACATGCTTGATGAATGAGTGTGTGTGTGTGTGGATATGGGGGTAATTTTACTATGATTATGTTATCGATAAACAATTTAATGAGTACCTTTTGGTATTAAGTTGTTTTTAAGTTATTAGTGAGTCTTTATACTTTATTGTATTATAAATAAGCCTCTTAGAAAAAGTTGAAGGCATAAAAAAAATTAACCCCCCCCCCCCTCTTGAGCTTTTGGTTCAAATCTTTTTTCTCCTCAATTACTAGGAGTTGTGTGCTTTCTATATTTCCCAAATTCCTTCGCTCCCTTCAACTTGGAGTGATGTACTTGCTATATATATATATATATTCTTAACAAATGATGCTCTCATTGAGCCTCATGGTGGTGCTTCACCTCCGATATTCACAACCATCTTCCGTTTAGATTTGCCAAGCCGATTTGCTTCACCTCTTAGATCCCCCTTCCTTGATTATCGGTCTGCCGCTTTAGACATTCGTTGTTGCTAAAAATCACATTTATGAACTGATGCAGGAAAACTAAAAAGAAAAGTCAAATAGGAGAACACTAGGACAAATGAAAACCAACTCGATTCAATCTATATTGCAAACATCCAAACAAACACCAAAACAAATGAAAAGTCGAATCAAACGAAACAAAATTATAAAATAAAAATACTATCCTCAGAATAACCGGCAAGCGGTTTCCTCACATGCAACGAGTAGGAAAAATATGATAAAATGCTTAGGCTTGCAGACCAAGGGTCCATCACAGCAAAAAGGGTCCAACTTTCAACCAAATTCTTCTGGCAAATGTCTCCAAATCAGCCAACAAACGTCTCCCAATAGCTCAAGAAGAAGGATACAAGTGGAGTGGAACTTGCGTAGAGAAGAATAGATTAGAAGCCAAGACGAAATAGAGAGGAGGAAGAAGTGGAACAAGCTCTCAAGCTTTTCCAAGAGAAAAAATCCTAAGGTTTTTAGCAACTTATCTCATGTTAATCAACAACCTCTTCATGACAAAAACACCTCATATTTATAGAAGAAAAAGGGGAGCCAAACAGTCAACTTCCACCTCCAACCGAACCAATCAGGTAAGGGGAAGAGGAAGACCATTAGGCAACACAAAATAATTCCCAAAAAACAGCACAGGAATCGGGTAGAGGAAGCCAAAGGAAAACAGGAAACCGAGAAGGCAACCCAGGGAACCAGAACCAGGACCCAGCAACCAGTCACGTGAACAACACAAGGGAAACAACGAGGAGACACAAGAAGGGGAAGAGGCAAGCTCCAACTCCACATAATGAGCTAAAAGAAGAATACCTTTTCAAATTTATGAGCTAAGTAGTGTAATTACTCCTCCAAGTAATGAGCTAAACATCAGCTCAAGCATTAATGAGCTAGCTCTAAGAAGATCCCAAGTTTTCAGCTCAAAACCAAAGCTGCCAAAGCCCAACCCGAGAGCAGCCAAGGCCCAAACCGAGAGGCAATAAGAAGCCCAAAGAACCAAAGGACCTAAAATGCTAGCAAACCCAAGACTTGCCATGCCCAAGCACATCCTACCATGATCATTGGATGTTCTCCATCATTGGATAGCATAAAAAAAATATAAAACACAACTATAATATTCAAATTACATCAAAACAAAAATAAGCCAAAATATGAATGCATCATGAACCTTGACCCATCATCGTTTGCCAGATCCATGAGACCTACCTTTTGATACCAAACCCAGATCTGCGCTCGTTCATGATTGTCTTCCTCCACAACATTGCCTATTTGCTTCCAAGGCAAGTGAGTTTCATCAGCAACTTCTTCATGTGATCCCCACAACCCTGGCAAATTGAAACACAGTCTCCTTTCTCGTCCTCATCGCCTGGTTTTGAGCTTCCATTGTCGTGATTCTATCGCGATTGCTCGGGTATCACAATCATCGGATATCTTATTACCTCCAAACCTTCTGATGCCATCGTCCAACTCCTAATCTCTAGCTTCAATCTCCATTCCATCATTTGTCCTTTGCTCCAAATTACATCGAGATCATGTCGAGACTCCACTAAAATATGCATCCTAGATTATCATTGGCAATTGCACCGTTGCCTTGCCCAGACTTGGAAACTTCGTTGACGTCATTGCAATTTGCTCGACCTTGATGAAAAAAGTTGGCATGGGTAATGTTTAGGAATAACTAATGTAATGGATATTTTGTGGGTATTATATTGTTATTAGGTAATTGTTGAGTCTTTTTTTTTCTTCAGCGCTATAAATAATTCTTCTAGGAAGAGTTTGGGACATGGAAACCCGTTGAACTTGACTCAAATCCTTTCTCCCCCCAATAATCAAGAGTTGTCGGAGTCCTATATTATGAAATTTCCTTCTCTCTTCTACCAGAAGCTACAATCATGCTACAGACTGTCTGGTCTAGTTTTCTCTATTCAACAGAAAAAGAAAATTCCAAACAACATTCTTAGAAGTAGCTGAATTCTTGTGCGCTGGGCATGCCATTGTTTATGCATTTATAGGGTCATTTGCATGAGAAGATAGCATATTCAAGTTCCTTAATTTATGTTATGGAGATTGCATTAATTTGACTTAATCGCTTTAAACCTTGAACCTGCTGTATCAAGTTCTCAAATTTGAAGGGATCCATTGGTGATTGAGAATGAGTTTCCTTTCAAAGAAAGGATTTGAGATTTGGATACGGATTTAGGCAGATATTTAAACAGAATTGAAACCATTGTGGTTATATGCAATGAGATCGCACTGGCAGAGTACTGACCTTCTGTCTTCACTTAGATTTAACTATGATGCTGGTTAGAGTTTATTTACTGGCTATTAACAAGCACGCTAGCCTTCCCATAACCTTCATCTGTTGTCCTCTTAATAGTTGGTTTTCTTATTCTTCCAGCGCAATTTCTTCACATTTATTCATGTATCCGTCATCACCCTATGATTTTATTATTGTAGGGCCTTCTATGCGCTCATGCAATACTATTCTGAATTTCTGTTAAGGGCTTGTTTGATTGCATGCAAGGAAAACTGAGAAAGGTGAAGTGATTGAAGTTGAAGTGAACCATTTCACCTCTTTGGTTAACGGAAAAGTGGAAGTGATATATTCCGTAGGAATTGACAATTATAATTCTCAATCATTTGATAACGGACCATGTGCTCTGAAGTCACAACAGGAAGTCATTAAGTGTGATGCCTCGCCTTCCTTTGCTATTATGATGCCAGTTGCCACTCATACATACATGCATATAAATAAGATTATAATATATATTAAATTATATAAATTGCTGTAGTAACTAATACGATAATTCATTTGTTAATATTAAAAGTTTTGTAAATATATAAGATATAATCTACTTGTTTAAAATTATTTTTATCTTTGATGTGCAAATTATTTGTGGTGTATTATACTTGCCCCATAACATACATCATATCCAATAATACTTTAGATATGTTATTACAATGTATAAATATTTTATGTTCCATAAGCTTTATTTTTTTTACATCTATATTACTATATTTATTTTGTATGTAAGCATGTATTTTCGTTCATTCCATTGGTAGGAATAACATCTTGAGGCTCTGACAGGTACTATATTGCAGGTAGAATGTAGAAAATGTACAGGATAGACAAAACTAAAATTTAATTTTTATCAGTATTATTGCAACTATTGGAATGAGCAGTTGTTGCAGCAACATGAACTTCATTATGCTTTGCTTTTAATTTTGTAGAACTTTTAATATCTATATGTTGTCAAATGACTAACATTAAAATATCATTTTTCCAATCTTGTAGAATCTGTTCCTTATAACTTTTTGAACTTGCTTGTTTTATCATCAGATAAAATTCTTTCATAGAATTAGCAGCTTGTCAGCTCCTGTGACGGATTTGGAGAAACTTATTTGGAATGTGTTGGAGGCTGAAAGGAGAAATATAAGGTTTTATAATTTTTTGTACTTTGTGCCTTTTGTGTGGTTTTGAAACCAGCAAAAATATTAAGTATTTGTTTTGTTTTTCAGTCAGTTGCATGGAAAATCTCTAGTTGAAGTAAATAAAAGTTTTCTAGAGAAGCATAAAGGTTTGTTTTATTTATCACACCATATACTTTGTGACTTGTTGCATGGGTCTTTTGGTTTATTTTTCTTGCTTAGTTTCCGCTATGTTTTGGCAGATTCTTTGATGCATAGGGTAGCTGCTGCAGAAATGCTTTATCTTTTAGAGCCTGATAAGAAGCTTGAGGCAATTCAATTAATTCAAGATACAACAAATGATACGGCACCCCCGTAAATTTCCCGTAACTTAATCTTCAATTTTAAATACATTTATCATTTTCTCCTTTGCTAATGTGTTCCTTTCCTCTGCCTGTTTTAGCAGAAATGGAGCTTTGGGGCCCGTTGGCTTGTGGAGACTTGAGGATTGTATCTCAGTACACAAATTATTAGAACAAGTTTTCCATAATCCTGGGGCTGCACGTAGTAAGATTTTATTTTTCTTCTTCTTCTGAATCTAACAGTTTAAAAGAACGATAACATCAATGTAGATTAGTTTAGTTCATCCCAATATGAAAGTCTTCTTGGAAAGCCATACCATGGTTTTGTATTTTTCTGATATTTCAGCTACATTCGAGGAACAGCTTGTTTCTAGATTTCCTTTTTAACAATTTCATAAGCATCAACGACCTACAAGCTCTTTTCCTTGCTAAAATCCTCTGCTGTATTTGATTTATTGTAGGTTGGAAGGCCCGCTGTGCTGAATATTTCCCTTATTCAACATATTTCGAAGGTTTGAAGAGCTCAGCTGTTGTCGGTTTAGCCAATGGCAATGAATACAGTGTGCCTGAGAATGGTGACTTGAACCATCAAGTTGTCGGTGGAAGTACTCAAAATGGAAATTTGCATTCTTTCAAGGATCTCACTATCTAATCTGCTGCACTTTCGTTTATCTAATTAGTACATGGAGACTAAGATCAATAGATTCTAATCAGAGTTTCTCCTCATGGATGTTGCTGCACTCGGAGGAAAATGTCTGTGTAGGAGAGCAGCTGCTTCCTGCAATTTCAGTCCTTGATTTTGGTTTCGGCTCGCGGCAGCATTTTTCTGTACGAAGTTCTCAGGATTCCTCATCGCAGCCATCAAAATCTTTCCCAAAGATGTGTATAACTTATTTTTCTTCATAAGTGTGAGACAAGTCTAATCCACATTTCACTTGGCGATTAGCACCTCCCAATCTTATTAGTTTACATTCCTTATATTAAAACAGAGTAAATTTGGCATTATTACTTGAGTTTTAACTTAGTCAATAACTTCTAGCACAGTTATATAATTTTGAAGGTATTGGGATTGAATCCCTTACCTAACTATTTGTAGGAGAGGTTCCCATGGCAGGAAGAACATTATAAATGGAGGTCATCTCAGACTATTTTGTCTTTTCATCTTTTGACATTGTCAATATATTTATGCTGTTGTATAGATGTTTGCCAATTGCATCATCAATCAGCTAAAGCTCTGATTTTGTGCTAACTGTGAACTAAAATTTTGTTTTTTTTCTTCTTTTTTTTTTCATGAAATTTTATTTATTTTTGAAATGGATTTATGATAAATTTTTGTGGTGGGTATTGGCAATTTTCTGAACAAAGCTATGCCAGTTGATGTTTAGTGTAACGGTCTGTTTGAGATAATTTTATAATGAGATTTGTTAGGATGTGATACCTAACGAAGTTGTTACTGATCTTTTTGAAAACAAATTATGATATCCATAACTAGTTTCAGAAAAATTGATCTTCCACACTAATCTTGTAATGATTTTTGAAAAAGTTAAAGAGTTCTTTCAAACGGTCCCTCGTTCTTCTCTGATTAACTCATAAAATTCTGCTGTTTTTGGTCCAATCATCTGTCATTTTTTGGGGTTTATTCTGTTCTTGACTGTGAATCTAAGTAATTTGGGTTTCTGGTCTTCAGGGCAGTAGCAGGAAATTACTGAAGAAAGGGGTACAGGCCTTGTTCATGGCAGCTGCAGATAAGTTAATGAAAGGACATGCTGTCTACTAGCCCTATTTACTGAAGTTCTTAGATCTGAAGAAATAACAGTCCTTTTGTTGTTGTTGAATCTGATCTCTAACGATCACTTCTATCACTCTTAATAGGGACAAATTATTCTGTGCCGGAGTCGTTCAAAGATCAATAAAAATGTATCATGTCACCTTAAAAGTATACTGTAGTACCGGTCGGTTCTCCCATCCGGTGTCCGCACCTAATAATCTCTCCTTAATAGGTGCTCGCTTCTTAGATCTAAAGAATTTTTAACTTTATAATAATAAATTAAAAGTAAAATTGATCCTAAATAGCATTTAAGGTTTTGGCTACGTTTGGGACATTTTTTTACTACTTTTTAAAGTAGTTTTCTACTAAAAAATTTAAATTTTGTACTAAAAAGTAGCTTTTAGTAAAAAATTCATCTCAAAAGAAGCCTTTATCTGAGGTTATTATTTTTTTTTTATTTTGTTTAAAGTTATTGTTCTGAAATATTAATTTTCAGTAAATTTTTTTTAAAAAAAAAGATAAAAAATAAATTCTTTTTAATTATAAAAACCAATAATTAAGTTATCTGAAATGAAGATCAAGGTATGGAGAATACAGTTTTATTCTCGATTTAATCTTCCTTTTTTATATCTTAGAATTTCTTTAAAAAAATAAACCAATTTTATTAATCTCAGATAAAACATTTATTTTTACAATACTCGCAATTTCAAAAGTATAGATGAAAAAAATTTAGGAGAGAGGTCTCCTAATTTATCTTATCATAATGACCACTTGTTTGCGGAGAAAATTAGTGGTGGTTGATATCAGCGGTGATGATCATCAGAAAATATAATGGTGCTCTTATTTTCTCTCAACTTGTTGTTCTTTTTTTATTTTGTAGAGAATGGAATTTTATTTATAGTTTTTTTTTAATGAAAATTTTGATAAATTTAGTCATAATTAAAAGAAATTTACATATGGCCTATATTGATTTTCTCAATCATAAAATATTTTCTTAGAAATTAAGCGACTCAATGATGTTGGAATTACATGACCGTGGTCTTCCAGCATGCCAAATTTGGAGAATATTTGATCATTCGATTTTACTATAAGCATCAAGTTCTGAATTGGTCTTATTTAGGCTCATATTGGATCACTTTTGATGTATTGGCCTCTTTTTGTGAAGATATTCAATTCAACTATAAATTTGAAGAGATTGGAGTACAAATGATCATGGCGGAAGTTTCAAATTTAAATTTTATCATAAGATTCGGATTAATCAAGCATATTTGTGTTGATGTATCAAGCTTTATAATTAAAAATATATAATAAAGGTAGTCCCAAATAGCCTCTAAATTATTAAGAAAAAATGATTGGCTCTGTTTCTTTCCTTATCTTTATCTTTTATTTTCCTTTTTTTTTAATCTACTAAACAAATTAAAATTCTCTCTAACAAACTGAGGCAATCGATATGGTATTTGCCTAATAGTTTATCTGTAATTAAATTAGAATAATTTCATTCAAATGTAAATTTAATTGAAATTAAATAAAAAATTCCATTAAACAACCAATAAAGCTTTGTGCTAATTTCAATTGATAATGACTGTCATTAATTGATTTGAATCGACTAAAGATGTGATGCATCCACTCTAATTGTCTCTATCCAAATCTAAGATTGGGCCAATCAATTAGTTGGGAAAAAAATTAAATTATTAGTGTACTTGTTCTATCAATTAAATGTTCCTTTTATGATTATTTAGTACCCCATTTGATGATTTATTTAATATTTTTACATTTATTATTTTATAATTAATATGAGGATACTATCGAAAAAAATAATTCATATAATCAGCCCTACATAATGTAATAAAGACTTGATATATATATATATATATATATATCTTGTTCTATTAATTAAATGTTCCTTTTATGATTATTTAGTACCCCATTTGATGATTTATTTAATATTTTTACATTTATTATTTTATAATTAATATGAGGATACTATCGAAAAAAATAATTCATATAATCAGCCCTACATAATGTAATAAAGACTTGATATATATATATATATATATATATATATATATATATATATATATATAT